GCTGAAGTAGTAAGAGAAATAAAGTGTGTAAAGGCAAACTACCATCCTTCATAATGTCACTTCAGACTCAATAAAATCATGTAAACTTTGTGGAGGAGGTAACATGTATGGCAGAGCTGCGACGGATGATTCAGTTTTGTAGTTCTAGAACTGGTGGAAAGGTCATTCCAGATGTAAGAAACAACCTGAACTCCAAAACTGAAGGATGGAAAGTGTGGGTCATTTGTAAAAAGCATTAACAGTTTACTTTGATTGAAGTGAAGGGTAGATTAAGGGATAAACTAAAAAAAAATTAGGGTTAAATAGGATGATGGGAGGCAGATGTTGGTGACTAAATAGTTTATAAATTTGCATAGGGAAATACTAAAGTTTTCTGAGCAGGAGAGTTAAATACTTTAGAGTTGTACTTCAGGAAAACTGACCTGGCAATAGAATGAAAGCTGAAATGGAGGTGGCAGAGTTGCAGAATTCAGTTAGGAGGTAATCATACAGTTTAGAATAAAAGTCATGAGGTTGTAGCAGTGAATATAGAGTTGACATATTGTATAAGTAGAATTAGAACTTAGAAACTGACTAGAATTGCAATGGATTTGGACAGTGGGAGAGGAGACCTCAAAGTTTTCCATTTGGATGACTTGGAAAACATTAATACATCAGAAATAGGGTACATAGGAGGAAGAAAAGAGAGATGGGGAAGAGAACAACTAATTTAGTTGAGGACATATTGAGTTAGAAGTGCTGGTAGCGTATCTTTGAGATGTCCAGTATGCAACTGATTTATTATGTTCTGGAGTTCTGTATGGATCATAGAGACCACAGCAAAAAGCACAAAACTGTGAAGGTAGAGAGCATAGTGAAAGGAGAGAACTATGACAACTCAGCTTTGGATACATGTAATGAAAGAAGATCCATAGAAGAAAGAAAGAAAAATGCCCAGAAAGCAAGGAGGAAAATCAGAAGAAAACAGTATCAGAGAAAGCAACAATGAAAAGTTTTAATAAAAAAGGACTTAGTCAACAATGCTGAATGCTGTGATGAGTTCCAGGAGAACTAAATGAAAATGGGCATGACAAATTATTAATTTTTGAGAAAGCTGTTTTTGAAGAAGCCAAGCATTTTAAAGGGTTAATGAGTAAGTTAGGGAGTGGTACAGAGAAAAGAGCCCTTGACTGGAACCAGAGAACCTGAGTTCTTGGCCCTGCTGTTAAGTGGCCACATGACATTCTGACTTCTCTTAAACTATTTCCTAGTCTTCAAAATTTCATAAAATGTCTTCTAATACGCACTTTCAGAGATTGAAGCATGCTACCTGTGTGCCTAAACCACACAGAGACATTAAGCTACAAATATTTATTAGATATAGGCCAATTTCACTACTTTTAATTTATGTAAAACTGAGGTGCTAAGTGTTTCCTAATATAGAGAAAGTGAGACTACATTCTTAGAGTATTTCCTCCAAGAAAACAACATTGATGAGGTCCCTCCCATTCCCAGTATACTATCCTCTACTTCTAAAAACTGAGCAAAGACATTACCCCTAGTTTATCCAGTGTCTTGTTCTACTGACTGAAATCAGAGAATGCCACCCAAAGCCTTTTTGTTTGTTTGCTGAAATCAGTTGGGTGATATTAGCAATCAATCCCCCCAAATCATGGCTTTCCATCCACATTTGATCACATACTAGTACAGGAACACTTCCTGAAACTCAATGTCTCATATCACATGCTCCCAAAATTAAACCAGAAATATGTTATTCGAGAAGAACCCAGATGCACTGAAGAAAGAACATTTGCTTTATTTAGTAGCCTTATATCTACTGGGATCCCTTAGCAATACAAACTCAGAATCACTGAAATGTTAAGGACTACAAATCTTTTAGTTGGGTCCAGTCACAAAGTCTAGTGATATATTTTAAGTTAGTATAGATGTAAAATAGTTCATTTTGACTGAATTCTCTCATTAAAGTTAATAAATACAATGCTTTACCTTGAAAAAACAAACCCACAAAGTAGGTTAACATTCTCTTGCTGAGACACCAGTAAGTTTTCCTGACATTCTCATCCCTTGCCTTTCCTCAAAAGAAGTTGGCCTGTTCTATCTCAAGAATCCTTTCTTGCCTTATTTATTTTCAACTTGATATCATAGAAAATAAAAGAAATTTTTAAATTTTTTTAATGTATGTAATTTACCTCTAAATTCAGTGGAGAAAGAGGGAGGGAAAGGACAATTAGGATCTATTGTGCACGTGCTACATGCCAAACATGTTCACATACATTATCTCACTCAAGCCTGGCAATACTTTGTAATAAATTTAGCTTTGATGTTAGAGATGAGAAAACTGAGGCTCAGAGAGGTTAAGCTATCCTCTCAAGGTCAAATAGCAAGTTATAAAACTAGATTTGAAACAAAAGCTGTCTGACTCCAAAGCTCAAACACTTTCTACTCTACCATTTAGTTCACTCTAGTGAAAAATCCACTCTTGAGAGAGTCTTAGCATTTTAGGCACAAAAGAGTATTATTTAGGATTCTCTGGAGCCTCCAAATTCTGTTGTATCTGCACTGAATCCTACATTTTAAAAAAGGAAAGAAAAAAAAGGAAAGAAAGAAAGAAAGAAAGAGAAAGAAAGAAAGAAAGAAAGCAAGAAAGAAAGAAAGAAAGAAAAGAAAAAACCACCAAGTAAACACTCTTAGTATCCCTCCCAATTGAAATTCAGCGCCGAGGACAGCTCCTGAGTCATGTTTGCAGGAAGTTGTCCTTGGATTCTGTTATTGAGCTCACACCCCCATTCTCAACTTCCCAAGTGGCACTGAGAAAAAGAGGAGGAAATGCAGAAAAGTAGAAGATGGGATCCTCTGACACCATGGTGGAAATTAGCATATTTCCCATAAGACCAAGATAAAAATGCATGTGAGAACAACAAGGGAACCAAACAGATGGGGCAATAAAATGGAGGCGGAATGAGCTCATCAGGATTCCCAGCACACCGTTTAAGTCCATAGTGGGCTCTCAGCTGACCTGGGAGCCAGGAGACATAGTGAATGAGTGGGTGGTTACTATGCTGCCACATCAGTTACACTGGGAGATTAGGTGGAGCTGATTCACTGCTACAGAGCTACACAACTTCAAGTGAGGGAAACTCGGTGGGCCCTTTTCTCTGCCACACACATAACCCTCCTCATAGGTAGCATGAGTTGGAAATGCAGGATCTTTCAGGTAGACAAGGTTGTTGTGCTGTGAGTAAATCAAGGACGAACCTGCATGTTGTCAAGAACAGACTTCAGCCTGAGCTATGGCATCTCCTTGTGTGCAGGTTTACCTGCTACATCACAAGCACCCTGCCTTCCCATACTCACCCTTGGCTACAGGTGTTCACACCACAAATGGAAAGCACAAGGCTCTGGAACATTCATCACACTGAACAGTGATTCTTCCTCATACTACTAGCTCTTGAGCAAAGTCAGAAGGGCCTTTGGAGAGTCTAGTCTAAACCCTTTATCTTATACACAAGGAAACTGATGTCCAGAGAGGAGAAATGACTTGCCCCAAACCACTTAACTAGTGACAGAGTTGGTATGAGGACTTGTTCCTAAGTCAGGAGACTTTTCACTGCACCAGGAAGACAAAATAAAGTCCTGAATAGCATATACCCTATGAACTAAGCCCTCTAATTATACTGCCACCAAAGAAAATAACTTCTTAAATGCCTGGGTCATTCCATCTGGGTTTTGGCAGTTTCACTGACCACTTCTTATACGGGAAATCTTTTGAGAAATTTAAGAGTAAATATTTTGGGATTTATGTTTTGTTAGTTTCATGTCTTCTTGTACACTGTTTTCTTTATTCTGGAGGAAATTAAAATTCTGGAAATACACTTGATTTTACCTGACTATTAAAGGAACAAACCTTTATTTCAAGTCGTTGCAAATATGAATGTATCAGTCTATGCCAAGAAAGGATATATGGGAAAATATAGGCATACTACCCTAATTGTCACATTCAATTAAGATCCACCAAGGTCTATGCGTTTAAAAAAATCAAACCTATGAGTGAAAACTGAAAAGTCAAACCTTATCTGAACATGTCTGGATTTGGTGAATTGTGGAATAATCTAAAATGTAACATTTTGTGAAATGCTTTGCAATCTTGTTTACTTTCTTTATTATAATTTGCGTATGTCAGAGCTCATTTAAACTTCTGGAGTTTTCAAGGAACTGAAGTAAGAAGGATGTAGGGGGAATAAGTCTATTCAAGTTTATACTTACGACATAAAATGAGTATCTCTGGGTGATCCAGAACAACAGAGACATTGGCCCATTAACCATCCACCCCAACCCCATATGGTTTTTACTAATGAATATTCTTACCTGAACCATCATTACTTCCATTGTCTTCTGCTTTGGGTGTTGTGTAGATCAGATTTCCTCTCTCTAATGTTTATCCACGAAGAGCTTTCTCATGTATAGAACTTTCCTTGTAATTTAGCAACATTATCCTTGAAAACCCCACAACTATTTACATAACAGAAGCTATTGTTTGAAGTGCAAAGCAGGTCAAAATTTGGTTTCTGGAGATTAATCACCGCAGTCTATTTTATATTATCATAATAATTTCATTTATTTTGATACAATTTGTTTTCAGGAATCAACCTCAGCTTCTGTACAGAAGTGACAAATTCATTTGTTTCTGGTATAATGGATAATATGATTAATGACCTTGCCACAGGATTTCTTAAAAACATAGAAGAAAAAAAATTAAGGCTTCTATTTATAATGTGCAGTAAACCAGCTCCGTCTGTAGCTTTGCATCAACATCTCTCTGAACTTGTTTGTAAACCACAGGCCAGATTCAGAAACAAATTCGCTCCTGCCTTTGGGGGTTTCTGTTCATATCTGTTCCCTCCAAGAATCTGAGGACAGCGGTCTCTAGTTGGGAAACTGGACGTGGTGGCCACCCCATCTAACAGGGGTGGGGCACTGCTTCACTACGCGGCACCGTCGCGATGACTCGGTCGGATGAACCCCATCGAGCCCAGGCCTTGCTGAATAAGGCCACTGCCAGGTGGGCTGTCGCTGGGCCCCCACGGGAGAGCTCCGCGTGGGGCCTCGTGGCTCCGGCCCACTCCACGCCCCTGGCTGGAGGCAACCTGGCGCGAGAGTGTGTGG